AATTATTATTAAAAATATTTCGTTTGCTTCTGCGATATTATAATAATAATAATAATTTAATTTTTCGATTTTTATTTCCCCCCTCCCCACCCGCCCGCTCCCTCAACGATAATTACAAATAATAATTGGGAAAGTTTAATAGGAACAATAATTTTTTTTTTTTTGATTGATTTATTTTAAGTTAGGAAAATTAGTTGAATAGAAGAGGATGTGAATCATTTGATATGATATCCGGTTGGAAAATGTGGCGATATCCGGTTTAAAATGTGTCGATATCCGGTTTAAAAATATGATGATATCCGGGAGGAAAAATTTTTTTTTTAGGAATTTTCTACCGGTATAGGATATAAGAAAACAAAAAAATGCATTTTTTGGTCACGTGTTGTAACATAACAAATGACACGTTATTATTCTTCTTACACGATCTTCTTGTTTACTTTTTTATAATTTCAACCACAACAAAACCGGTCGAAAATCTTTGACCTTTTTTTTGTTGTTTGTTGTTTGTTGTAATCGGTCGTCACATATTAAAATTATATGAATGACAACCCTGGAAAATTGTAAAAAATTGTATAATTTTTGTTGTTGTTGTTGTTGTGTGCGGACAAACGACGTTTACGAAAATTTTTTTTTTTACCCACACATATATACAAAACATAATTATTTCAAATTATGTAATTTTTCCTCCTCCTCCCCCCCCCAAAAAAAAACAGATGAATTCTATCGTGGCGATAGAAAAAGACTCTTTAAAACAAAAGTAATTATTATCATTATTTTTCAAAATATACATTCAAATAATAATAATAATAACGAAACGAATTTTAAAACGTTATTAAATAAACGTAATCAAGTAAAAAATTTTCACTATCGGGTAACAAATGATGATTCCGTAACAATATATTTTTTCTGAACAATTACGTATTTATTATTAAAATTTTTTTTTGTGATAATGATAATGATAATGATAACGAATTTTAAAAAAAACGTTAAATAAATAAATAATCGCCGGATAATTAATTAATTATTAATAATTAACGATGTAAAAATTTTACGATCGTTTTTGCCTTTACGAAATCATTAAAAGAATCTCCCGTAAGTAAAAAGTAATAAATAAATTTAATAGATTTAAACAATGTTAATTAATAATAAATAATTTTTTTCGATGGAGTAACTAATAATAATAATAATAATGATAATGATAATAAAATGAATACGAGTTTTTTTATTACAAAATTAGTTCATGGAAATAAAATTTTCCGTTTTTTTTTTTTTTTTTCACTTTCCCAATCAACACAACTTACTACTCGGGACTGGGCGCGTATATAAAAATTTAATTTTTTTTTTTTTACGCTACCGACTAATTTTTTTTTATTAATAATAATAATAATGATAATGATAATAATAATAATGACTTACACGTTATTACTAAATATTATTTTATTTTTTTTACTACTACACCATGACTAATGCGTGATAAATTTTTTTTTTTTTAAATTACGTTCAATGAACTTGCTTATTTGCATGCCGATTACTTTCTTTTTATTTATATTATTATTATTATTATTATTATATTTTTATTTATGCGTGCGAAATTTAGGTTTGCAATAAAAAAAAAATTTTTTTAAAGCGTTTTCGAAACGTGTACGAAAATTAAAATTTATTTAACACGTCATCGGTAAAACGATGGAATAATCATCATCATCATTATTATTATTATTATTATTTATTACTCGAACCTCGAACGTATTACTCGCGAAATTATTATTATTATTATTATTCATTTACTTTTTTTATTAGGGATTTATAAATAAATAAATAAATTTAAGTCATCGACAAATTTTTTTTTTTTAGGGAATCAACATTATTTAATTAATTCGGACGAAATATTAATAATAATAATAATGATTATTTATTTAATTTTCGGGGGGGAGGGAAAAATTTTTTTTTAACTATTTACGATAATGATAATAATAATAATAATTGTGTCATTTTTTTTTTGGTCGGAACCTACTTTCATCAAATATAAAAAAAAATAACAAGTATCGAGTGGATTTATAGAAAGTGAATGAGTTAAAAAATATTATGCAATCGAGTACATAATACACGAAGATTGTAAATAATAATAATAATAATAATAATAATTTAAAACGTTAAATTTTCAAAAATAAATTTTTTTTTTCGCCACGAAATTTATACTAATTTATTATAATTGTTAAGATATTTTACTCATTGTATTTGTTTTTAAATAATTTTTTTTTTTTTTTAACTCGTCAAATAATAATAATAATAATGATGATGATAATGATGATGGTGTACGAGTCGATAAGAATTTTAAAAAAAAAATAAGTAATAGATAAATGAATAATTATCATATTACAAACGCACGAATCGAATATCCATAACATTTTATTAACACTTGTTCCAGTAATCTGGAAATCGTGAGTGTCGGAATATATTATTATTATTATTACGTTTTTTTTTTTTTTTTTTTTTTTTTAAATTTGCTACTTATCAAGTTCCGGGTTTTCCAGTTTTATATCAAAAAAAAAAAAAAAAATTACATCACAGATTAGTTAACTTGTTGTTGTTTTCTTGTTATTATTATTATTATTATTTTATCTTATTCGATATATGAATTTGATGTTTTGTCACGCACCCCCTCCCCCAAAAGGGGGCGTTAAAAAATTTTTTTTTTCCCCTCCTTGTTGGATTGTGTTCGTTAGGGTAACATTAAAAAAATGAATAACTCTGAGGATTAAATGGGAGACGAGTTATTTGTTATTACGTAATCCGACTGACCCGACATTTTTTAGATCATATCACGTAAAAACAATTATAAACAAAAAAATTTATCGTAAAAATGCGCGATATTCGAAAGCCATACAAAAAAATTTAAATTCATTGAGATTTTCATAACAACAAACGCATGATACAACCTGATAACCTCATCAAAAAATCATCACATAATCACCTGATAAGAAAAATAGTATAGTTTGATTACCAGAGTAAAAACAAATTTATAGTCGCTTGTTACAAAATTTTTTCGTTAAAAATATGAGGAATGTGAGAGAATCATTAAAAAAATGATGATTTGCTAAGCTAAAAACATTAAAATTATTTTTCTTATATTTGCTCTAAGGTTTCCATATGATTTCGTATACGGTTTATGCTTTTCACCGGTAACTTGTACAATATTATTATTATTATTTTTAAAGAATTACCGATTTATTTATTTGTTTATGGTTGTATAATAAATAAAACAAAATTAAATTTTATTTTTTATTTAAAAAATAAATAATGAATAAAAAAAATTATTTATTATTAACATTTTAATACCCGGGTTTACAAAAAAAATTTTTTTTGTTTTTTTCCATACATTTTAAACGACGGTATAATAAATTAAAAATAATAATGATAATAATAAAAAATTAATTATACTTTTAAAGGGTATCGATTATTTTTTTGTTTGTTTGTTACAATCGAGAGTAATAAAAAAAAATGATTTGCAGATAATAAAAAAAAAAAGGTAAGGTTTTTACCTAAATATAGATAGAAAAAGAGACCTAAAAACCTTAAAAAAACTTTTACTTTCTTTTCTTGTAATTTTAAACACCTTAACTGTCTTTTAATGATGACAAATATATTTTAAAACATCAATCACAACAACAACAACAACAACGACAACGACAAAGACTTCATTTTTTTTTTTTAGCGTGAAAAAAAATTTAAATTTCATTAAACTTTACTGGACAAAATCCTTGTTTGTTTAGAAAACAAATTCAGTCGAAAAAAAAACGTTTTTAATCATCATTTATTTTTCACGAACGTGTCATTAGATATTGACTAGCATTTCCTTTTTATTCAAATTTCACGCAAGAACAATGCACCGCAATAAAAAAAAAAGGAAAATTTTTTTTTTTTTTATTTAAATTTTCTTTTAAGAGGATGAAATTGTCGTAAGAGTGCAACGGCTGGTGCTTCAAACAATACCGATATGACGATCGATGCCAAATAAGACATGGAAAAATACCCGAAAATGGCAATTATCATTGTATCCCTTTGTAAATGTATCGGACCATCCATGTGAGCCATGGCAGACAACATTATAAGAGGATGAATTAAATACGCGCAATATGTGAGACGACTTATGGGAATTAATATTTTTGACGATAATATGACGTTTACAGGTCCCCCATATCCTGTGACGCATGCGATTATTATCCAGCTTATGGAAAGTGCCCAGGCAGTGTGACTTAGTGCAACATAAGCAGCAGATTGTATTTCGTTAAGTTCGTTATACAACCCGTGAACCAAAACGAATGTTGTTACGATTGAAATGATCCAGAGAAACGTGACAAGGCCCTGAAAATGTATAAACAATTTTTTTAAACAATTTACTTATTAACAAATTGACGTCTCATTAAATTATAATAATTACCTTGTGGTAGGTAGCTTTGCAATTAATTTTAGCAAGATAAAATCCAATGGCCATACCTACAATGTAAGGCCCTAATCTCGTCCACGGTTTGTCGTATAATTGATCGAACAATCCTAAAGGTTCTTCAATACTAAAAAAAATTTTTTTTTAAAATTAATATTTTATATTTCAAAGGTAAAAAAAAAAATTTAACCGGAAACGGAAACAACCTTGGTTTGTGATGAGTGTAAAGAGTTATTACGGCAGTTGTCACCCAAGAACTTACTAATAATAATATCGTAAACGCTGCTGTCGTTTTAAGATACCTGAAAAAGGTTTAAACGTTAAAAAAGATGGCGTTGTATGATATAAATAATAATAATAATAATAATAATAATAATAATAATTAACCTTGAGGATATTAATAGAAGTAAAAGGCCGAGAAAGTAAAATTGTGTATCGTTGGCAAGGTACCAGCTCCAAATCATACACTGTAATAAAAAAAAATTTTTTTTTGTTGTTGTTTGTTGAACGTGACGATGAGAATAATAATAATAATAATAATAAAATCAAGTGCAAAC